GAAAGAAATGCGAAAGGAAGGTCAATAACAATAGATTTTCATTCAAGCTGAGGCGAAGAAACCTATTTAAGAGCAAAAAATTGTTCAAAATTTTGCACACGTGGTTCACTGCATGACCAAAGTTTTTGCCGACCGCTTTTCCAGACATTTTAACACCTGTGGCTTTACTAATCGTTCCAAAAGTTGAATTCAACTTCGAAGTAATAATGTACATTACCATTTTTGTTTCTTAAGTCCGAAAAGCTGCTTTAAATCTGCGATGTGAAAGCGCTCTGATCTTCATGTTTTCGCGGCGGTTGTCGGAAGAAAACGTTCTTCACCAGAAAGTTCTACGGACTCTGTACTACTTGATCCTCATACAGAGGCCACCTAAACATTGATTTGTATTTTTTCCTTTCTATTTTAAAGCTCAAAGCAGTAATTTATCCCTGTTGGGAGTGAAAACAAGACCTTGGAAGTTTTTAGATTTGTCCCGCAAACGCGCCATGATCACCTGCACTTTTCGAGCGCACGATTTTAAGAAGAAAAACCGTCTTTCTAGACAGCAAGCGGCGGAAAATGGGTGGAGCAAACTTTACAGGTAGTAGGAGTAGTAGGACACAAAAAACATCATAGAATAAAACTATTGTTGGCCTGTGGAAGAGAGCCTGGAACAACGAAGCTGCGAGAAAAGTTGAACAAAGTCCCGCAACTGATGGAGGACTTGCCATTGTTTACGAGCTCTGCGACGACACCAGTTAGAGGAAAGATATCCGATTGTACAAGATCCATCTTTAGTCCGAGCAGCACAGATGGCTTCCTTGCGTCTTCTGCACACACTTTCTTCAACCCACAAAGCTGAATACGCCATCAAAATGTACGGATCAATGGAAAGAAGGTTCAACCATCTCTTGCGGGAGAGAACATGTCATGTGCCCATGCAGAAGGCCCACAAGCCAACTCACTGACTTTGTTGGTCTAGATAATCGTGTACTGAACTTTTCTTAGTTTAAAAATCTTTAAGAATACTCGGTAGTAAAGTTATAACTCCACTCACAACCAAAGCATGATGAGAAAAAAAGCCTTCCGACAGAAAACTGCCATGTTTATCCTCACAGCGCGATCGATGTGTCGATGGACTACATGCCGAAGGTCAGGACAAGCTCTACTAGGCGCGCAAAGAATTCTGTGCGGCTTTAAAAATAATTTCTCCTTGAAGATGATTGGTTAATTATTTACGGTNGCACGATTTTAAGAAGAAAAACTGTCTTTCTAGACAGCAAGCGGCGGAAAATGGGTGGAGCAAACTTTACGCCATCAAAATGTATGGATCAATGGAAAGAAGTTTCAACCACATCTTGTGGGAGAGAACATGTCATGTGCCCATGCAGATGATCCACGAGCCAACTCACTGACTTTGTTGGTCTAGATAATCGTGTACTGAACTTTTCTTAGTTTAAAAATCTTTAAGAATACTCGGTAGTAAAGTTATAACTCCACTCACAACCAAAGCATGATGAGAAAAAAAGCCTTCCGACTGAAAACTGCCATGTTTATCCTCACGGCACTATCGATGGGTCAATGGACTACATGCCGAAGGCCAGAACAAGCTCTACTAGGCGCGCAAAGAATTCTGTGCAGCTTTAAAAATAATTTCTCCTTGAAGATGATTGGTTGATTATTTACGGTCAGATCACCTGGTAGTTTGTCGGGTTTATTCCTCGGAGCCTGGTGCTGAGGTCTACTGTGTTAGGTTGAATTTTAATATATCAAAATTGGTCTATTTGGTTGGACATTGCAGTATGGGGCAATTTTCAAAGC